TCAAATTAACACAAAATGAGGCTTAGAAGAGGGATTTCGGAAAACAAAAACCATGCATTCTTTGATCGGATGGAAATGGAATTTATTTTGAATGCACATTGAGGGAGGGATATTTTTTGGGACTGGTTTTCAAGAGAGCGGTCTTTCTTCTCACCTTTTTGATGTTGGTAGCCGACAGAGTGGTAGGAGTCTGTCGCGTCTATGAGAATTTGATTTCTTATAATCAGATTCATGGAATTTGTGTGTGTTTTTAGGCGCGGCTTTGCCTCAGTGGAATGATCAATCAAGTGCAGCATCGGAGAGCCAGAGTCGGATACAGATTCAAATACAGAGTCGGAGGCACAGGCACGGGCAGATGAATACCTAATGAGTATGGGTTGACTCTTACACTCACACACAGGCGTACAGGCCCGTACCACTCAAACTGGTTTAATTGATTCAAATGATGTTCATGATGATGATGTTGAATGAATGACGTTTGTCTATCTGTCTGTCTATTCCAGCTTAGGCTTCAGCATCGGGGCTTCAGGTTTTGTTTGTGGCTTTTATACGGATTTCAGTAATATGTAAATCGATGCATGACAATCCACAAAACTTCCCCTCTCGGTAGCCCCTGGACACCATCCTCAGATCAAAATATATATATATATACAAATAAGAGACAATGCTCTGCAGTGGAGTGCCTCGACAATGAGGCTACTCATGGGGCGTCATTGAAATTAAGAACTACAGGAAAATCTAGTAGGAAATCTGGAAAAAGGAGAGTAGGAGAGTGAGGCTGCAATCGGAATGATATGTGGAATAAAGGTCCAATTCTTCAGATGTCTGCGGAGCAGAAAGACCTGTGTGGAAGGGACTCTTTCTCTCCATGAATACATCACACCCTTGATTTCTGCAAGTACTGGGTATCTGGAAAAATCACATGCAACAGTTGGATGTTGTTTGTTTTTGTTTCTGTGTTTTTCTGTTGTTGGTGGCGTGTCATGCAACGTTTTGTGCTCACCCTTTTATGGCTGCAATTGTGTATTTGTATTTATAATTGTCTCAGATGTAACCGCTCCCATCCTGAGTCTCCCACCCTCCCCCCCGCCCCCCAACCATCGCATTGAGCACTTGTCAGTCAGGGGCATACCCTCCATCGGCATCGAAAATGTACTTTTGATGCTCTACCCAGAAAGGGTATTCAATCAGTGTATGAGTAAATGCATTTTCAACTTTATTATTGTATCGACCATGATCCCATTTCAATATCCAACAAATCTCTAATCGATCTGAGCAGAAACTTATCTTATAAAGATCACTAGAATATTTATGGCTATTGGATGTGAATGATTATAATAAAATTAGTAGCTGCCATTAAATTAGTAGCTATATTTGTTGTTTTCTATTTAGAGAATGTTGTATTCCAAACTTTGTCATATTGGAGCAGTTGGGAACAGTTCTGGCATTAAACTTGGTGAAGACTAGATTTTAATTGTTTTAGACCAGTGTTTCAGGTTGAATGAGGCCTTGATTCGCAGAAAAAGTGTCCCATAAGCGAAAGGACTCAAGCAAGGCACCCCAGAGCTTCTATTGTAGCACTTTCTCAAGGAAAGCCCATCACCTGAAGTCTCTCTTCGTGGTTCTCCCTTCCTATCTCTTCAATTGTGGCACTGATGTGAATAAATATGGTTTTTCATTAAGATATCATGAGTAATGATTAGTAATAAGTGAATTAAATACTATTCCCCATTGAATTGGTGTCTATTTCAGTTGATAAAGATGTCAAACTTACTTGGGGACTACTCTAGACTTTGAAGATAATTTATGAACAACTATTCTCAGCACCTTTGGAAAATTCCAACCCTCATAAGATAAGCAGGTTGGGACTTTGTTTAAAGTGTTCCAGAACTAATTTGAAACGAATCGCGTTCCACTTGAAAAAATAGTTCCCACAGAAACCCCTTGAAAATTCCCACAGTCTTGTGAGGAAGGGTATTCAAGCTTCGTTGCTTCGTTTCCCGTTTGCTTTGTTGTATTTGCATTTGCCTGTTGGATATACACATGTAATACTCGTATTGTTGCGGTCAAAGTTGACTGACAGTTGCCCATGTGAATGTCAATTTGTGGCCAGACCCGGGCCCCTCCGGGCTTGCCCTCTTGGTTGACTCCAGTGTTGTTTTCCATTCAATTATTAAAATTAGCTCGCATTGCTAATTGTTGAAAGATGCAATTAGCCGGCACTGCGTACTCGGACAGAGATAGAAAAAGAAACAGAGACGGCGATGGCGACAGATATGAAGATACAGATAGCTGGGGATCGGGCGGTGTAAGGTTCGTAACCTGAAAGGTTGGGATATGCCCAGACTTTTGTCTCTCAATAGAGCTCTGGCTGCAGGTAGAGAGATTCTTTGTTGTGTGGCGATAAGTACGATAGAAGACGAACCCACCCTCATAATTCGTGGACGGAAGTCGGGGTCTGTCTGGCTCATAAATACCTAATCTTTATGGAGTTGGGAATCAAAGAACTTGACTTGTTTATGCTTCCTTTCGCTCCCACCTGACTCCGGCCACTAATTACTTGGACATTCCTTCGGACAAGATCCAGGATAAGCAGACAAATCCTTAAGTCCAAAGAGCATTCAAATGCTAGAGGCAGACCACAGACGGAACCAACCGCAGGGGAACCTCCTGCCACAGGTAGAAACCACTAAATAAAATCATTAAAAATAATGAACGCACTTCCGTTGCAATTGTCGGGGGTCTTAGAACTTTACACAACATTAAAATGAGGCAGCCCCTGCTGGGGAATGCCGCACAAATTAAAAGGTAGAAGAGGCCTGATCCAAAACCGATCCCCAACTCGTTGTCGGACTCGTTGTTCGGGTGTCGTGAGTGCAATTACATGTGTAAGAAGGAGAGCGAAACGGAAATAAAGCTCACTCTCTTCCCACCTCCAGACGCTGTAGAGCCCGAGACGTCGTCTGTCGATAAAAAACAAAGGCACTCACTCGCTGGGTTACTTGATTGTGGGGGCTGGACGACACATATAAATTATCAACGATGCAGCCCCAGACCCAGACCGAGACCCAGAGCCGGAGCCAGTGCCAGACCTGCCCAGGCCTGTTCTTTGCTAGTTATGCATACTCGTAGATATTCAGATACAGATACATGGCCTGGAAGGTTGGTCCGGCGATACAGGTACAGCCTACGCCAAAAACGACAAAACTCATCGTTTATGAAATTGGTTTATGGACCCCAAAAACTATTTAATGCTTTATTCGAATCGTGCGAGGAAAGTGTGCAACTAGAACATATTCCAGCCGATGCTGAAGATCTGATAAGACTGGGAAAAGTGGGGAAAAACCTAAGACTACAGGCAATCTTAAATATGCTAAGCCACACTGGAAGAGGGGGAGAAAAATGGTGCCAGCAAGGCCTGAAAGTCCCATACAAAATTCATTTTCGATTTAAATAAATTTCCCAAGATCTAACCTTCATCAAAACTAAATTAATTTTGAGCGTACAAAAAGTTCAATAATATTGATTGATTCGTGATATTACAGCCGCTTTAAGCATTGTTTTAATTTGTAGTAAATAAATAAACAAATAGACTGGGGTCATCCCAATGATTAATTGAAACCAAATTCTTAATTCGAAAATTAATATTTTTTAAACGGAATGTCCGGAAGACCCCATACAGCCCCGGCAGCATGGCTAATCGAAATAATAGTGGGACCACCCTAGGGTGGAACATGTCCAAATTGAATCTACATTCTTTTGGGTAGCATCATTATATTTGACCCACTTTTCGTCACAGTAGTCGTCGTAGGCCTCGGGTGCTCTTCGCGATGTGGCTGGAAGTGTGACACATATCGGATGGCAAAGATCAATTAGCTGTGGAAATGGACCACAACTGGGGCAGAACGTCCCACCGTTCCACCGTCCCACCGTCCGTTCTGTGGCATTAGTTCCACTGCTAAAAGGTGAGCCGGGAATGACTCTTGGAGTGTTTAGACAACTGTTGAAACAGTGGCAAAGTGCGGAATCATGTTTGGGAAGGGGCTTTGCTTTTCAACACGCCGTTTTGTTTTCCTACTACTTTTCTCTCTCCTCTATTTTGGTGCTTTATTAGCCACACTTTTCAGAATTGCTTGGCAAAAAACACAAAAAAAAGAGGCAGGCAAAGAGGGAAACAAGGTCAGGCCCAGAACTTTCCCAAAAAAAAAGAAGACAGCGGCGACAGATACGCAGCAGCCTCAGATGCAGAACAAACAATTAGTCAGGTCTGTGTGTGTCGTCTCCCCGAGCGATTTGTATCTGTTGCCGCGCGCGTTTTTTCACACTGCTCTTTTGGGTTAACGTTAACCCGTTTGCCAGGCCCGGCCGGCCAATTACATTACCCCGCCCCATAAGCCAATCCATCAACATGAATATATCTCTTAAAACAGAACCCAACAATTGCTTGATTCATGACTAAAAAAGAAGTCTGAAAACAGCTGGAGAAAGAGGAAACCGAGCAACAACCTACATAAAGTATCTTTGTATCTTTTGCAGTCTCTCTGTCGCTGTCTCTGTCTGTGTCTGTTTCTGTTTCGGTTTCGGTCTTGTGACGCATCTGTGATCCCCAAGAAATATAAAGAAATACAACTGCAGCTTGAAGTTGTTGGATGCCTCTGTGGATGCCACTTGATTGCTTTTGATTGAGTCTTGTGTTTTTTCTGTGCTTTGCTTCCCCTCCCCCCTCCCATTATTTCCCATTGAGCAAGAGTTTTGATTTCGATTTTCTGTGATTTGATTTGATTTGATTTCGTTTCTTTTCGAGACGATTTTTTGTTTTCATTTTCAATAAATCGCCCCATAATTGCACGCCCCGTGGTGGGGGGATTACCAATCCAGAGGAAAGGTCTAGCCATGTGAAAGCTGCCATCCGCGAGGCGTGTGAAAACTGCTTTTCCGAATTGAATATATTTCACCATGTTCCTCAAATATTTTAATCGTTTTATCTCTCTCTTTTGCAGGCTGCACGCAGCACCCTTCAAAGATTTACTTAAGATTTGTGGAATTCTTCAGGTAACTATAAAACCTACTATTTCCTCAATGACGTGCAGACCTAAACACTCCCTAAAAAAACAACATTGTTGCCTCAGTTTAATGCACGTTCCATCCAGCTGCAGGCTCGGACAAACTATTCATAACTCACGTGCACGCAAACAGTGTTGCATGCCTCACTGCCTCTCTCTCACATTTAGAACCTCAAATCAAATATGGGTCAGTTTCTTGTAGAGTTCGAAGTTGTGTACACAAAGTTGTGTACTTCTTGCATAACTGTCCTATAAATGGGGTATACGGTGATGCGAATGCGGTTTAAACATCATTTAGAATAGCCAGAATGAGCAAAATGTCTTCTAGAATGTCTCTCGATCTCTCTCGCGGAGTAGCTTAGCAACACAGGTCATCTTTGGCAACTTTTCTCTTGGAAAACTAGTATTAATTTAGTATTATTTCGGTAGACAAGAACTTTTACTGCTCTAAGGTTATTCTATATGCTTTTAACTTAATGGTTATAATATTTTGTCTAGTAGTTTTGTTTAGTATTTTGCGTTGTATGTTCTAGTATTTTTTCTAGTATTATGCTTAATATTTTTGTAGTTTTTTTTTCTAGTATTTAGTAGTATTTTTTCTAGTTTTTTGTCTAGTATTTATTATTATTTTTCTACTATTTGGCGGTTATATTCCACTGACTTCTATAGCTGTAAAAAGTATATCCCCACAGAGAAAAAGAGAGGTATTTCTTTTAGTAGTAAAATATTTGCCTACAGAGCACTCTTCTAGTCCATCATTTTACACACTGAATTTTAGTCTTAGTTCTAATTGCCGCTGGTCATACGAGTAGAATAAGCGCGCGGACTAACTGTTGAGCGGCACTTAAATGCTAATTTGCGGATTTGAGTGACCGTTGAGTGCCTTACTGTTCCCGTGAGTGTGTGTTTACTGCCTTCCAGCACTGTGTTTTTGTCTGCGTTTTAATTGCATCGAGAGACCCATTTAAATGTTGGCCCTTTTAGCCCCGATTCTCTCGGTTTTTGCTCTGCCGCATGCCGCATGCCGCATGCCGCGTATCGATGGCCTGCCAGCCTTTCGAAGCAAATTGCAATTCCACGCACAACAAATGAGGTCGCCAGAGATCAACGATCTGTATCTCATTTGGTTTATGTTTCTTTTTTAATCGGTAATCCCGTGTGTAACTGATGTTTTCAACGGGCCAGAAGTAGGCCCATCAGGGCTTCTTTATTACCATTTCTTATTGGTATCTGATTCAGTTGTTAGATTAAATATATAGTCAAAGCATCATAATACGAATGATCCGCCCATACAAACTTTATGGTATCTCCGATGCGTACCAAGGACTCTCTATATTTGAAGGCCCAAAAGATAAGTGGTACCATCAGGACGATCGGTACCACCTCCATATATGAGATCTTGAATTTTTTTTTAGGGATCGTAACGAGCCCGTCGCAGTGTAGCTCAAGGAATACTCCACCTTGCCGAATATACTTTGGGGAAGGGTCCGGAAGAGGATCTCGCACTTTGTTCGCTGGCAAATGCTTTCGAATAATCTCTGGATCAATGGCCCAAACAGGTCGCTTGACATGCACCGATTCTCCTGCTGCCTCCCACCTCAGTTCATCTTCAGATAATTCGCAGATATTATCCATGGCAGATCTGAACAAAAAGAGTGCAATTATAAAAACGAAAATTTTGTTTAAAAAATTCGAAATACTAACAGAAGTATAATTTGTGCTGACTTTGGAGTTGTATTCAAAGAATGAAAGATTTTTCTAGACCTAGTATATACTCGTACATAAGTGACAGTTTGGAAAACAAGAAAACTATCGAGAAACAGCAGATGATCGATGATCGATCCATGATCCATCGATCCGCACTCGAGCATTACGATCTGTAGCTGCAATACTCGACTTTGAACGTTCTTCTTGATCATTTCATTCACTTGGGACTACGATAATCCATAGCATTATGAAATGATATATACTCGAACTCGTTTAAGTATACATCTGAGGTCGTTCGTTCATGCTTGGTTGCCTGCCATCGATCGATCTTCGAAATTGCATTAGAGAGTAGAGAGATATCTCCCGATTTTCAAACAATACGAATTTGTCAACGGAAATGATGAACGGCAACAATTGCCGACATGCAATGAATATAATTTTGTTTAGATCATAAATTTGCGTCATTCTCCTCTGCATTTGCACTCCTCGCATTTTGTATCTCTGAAATTGCGCAATTTCCCCTCTCAAAGTTAAGTATCTCAATTACTGTAGATTTTCATGGGACTTTTCCTACTTCTTAACGTCCAAACTTGTTCCTCTAATCGGCTTAATACGGCAAATCGCTTCAGTAAACACACTGATCATCTCGTAATACGATTATCTGAACTTTGAACTTGAACCAAGCACAAAGTGTTTACAAATTTGAATACATTTTAACTCAAATGTGAATACATTTAGCAATCAATGCGGGAATGACAAAATGTGTATAAATAAATCAATTTCGCAATGTCAGCCGAGTGTTATTCCCCCCTTACCAGAAAGACAAGCTACAATCGAAGGAAAGATATCGTTTATTGTACGTTTGTATCTTTAGAGAACGTGATGTTTGCTCAAAGATTCGTTTATGTTGCAGTTTGTTTTAATTTGCACTGATATTTGATAAATGTTTTGATATAGCTATCAATGTGTAATGGAAAATCTATCCTCTGTTACTGAAGATCTATGTATATATTCGGTCCCCCTCTATTGTCTAAAGATCATTGAATTAGAAAGCACTGCTGATAGTTTGTTTGTTCCACATGCCCAGATATGTATATCTTTCCACTGATCTCGCGATAGAATCATCCACACAGCTGTGGTAAAAGTTTTGCTAATCTCATTCTGTGCCTCGTTTTTGCATCAAACTTTATGTCTCTGGACTCCGGACATGGACATGAACATGGCTTGTCTGAGTGATTTTTTTTTGTTTGGTTTTGGTTTTGGTTTTCAATTTCACTTGAACGATGCGGCACGTAGCCGGAGATACTACTCGCAGACATTTGACACATCACCTGACATGTCAGCCTGGCCTGTCGGTCTTTTGAGCGCAGTGAGAGTTTTTCCAGCGCCAACAAATTCTTTGAGTAAAAGTGAACACACACAGAGAGAGAATTAATCCGAAAACGAGCTCAAGTTCAGCCGACGGCCAACGGCCAGCAGGAGGCAAATTGTTTTGGCACATGCCAAAAATAAAAAGCTGAAACGATTAGAGCCAGACCTGTCTGGATGGCCGAAAAAAGAAGCATTATAAATTCATTAGGCAACAAAAAATCTTTAAAAATCTTTAATAATTATAGTTGGAAACGAGGGGGATCTTTGCTGAATACTCGAATATTTCTTTGTACCTCGCGTGACGCGTTTCGTTTGGTTTTGTTTTTGTTTTGATCTAGCCAAACCACAAAAAACCAGCAGGGCCCCCAGGTGATAAGTTCATTTATCTGCTATACATATTTATTGTTTTTCATCCGACGCGTGCTCCATTGAGTCTTGTGTTAATTTGTAATAATTAATTTGCGAATGGGCAGAAGCTTATAAATTATTATTTTTAACTCCCTTGGACACGACTGGAAATACCTGGGAACAACTGGGAATATCCGGTGTTTTCCCGCTCAACATTCCTGGAAAGTAGCTGGGGAGCAGAGAATTGCAAGCATTTATTTATTGTGGTTAATATTTCTGGGAAAATATAAATGATAATTATGTTCTACGTAAGAAATCTTTATTGGCTTAGATCGGATCAATATCATAGCTCTCCTCTCTCGCACACAATCTCTCTCTCTCTCTCCCAGTGTGACTTAGCAGAAGACGGGGAAATATCATTTCTTGAAAAAGGCGAGAAGAGATTTATCCCAGAGAGATTTAAACTCTAAAAATACCCCGAAAATACCCAGAGATACATAAAAAAAATATTTTAAAGTATAAATTATAATTATAATTAAACAATAAATAAAAATATACAAAAATATAGTGTCGAGTCAAAGTGTGAATCAAACGTTCCAGCTGGTTTAATTTTAAATTCTGGGCACTTTTTATTTTAAAAACATTTCATAAACAAGGTTTAAATTTATTTAAAATACTTTTTTAATTTAATTAGGAAAGAAAGTAATTTACTGATGTGTTGATTAATTAACAGCCATCGTTGATTTATATATACAATATTTATTGTTATTTTTGCATACCTCCTTTTCAATTGATTGCCTTTCGCGTCATCAATTGCCAGCCCAACCATTTTGCTGGCATGTATTCGCTTTCAATCATCGTTGCGCTGGCCGACTGCACAATTACCGCGGCCAAAACGCGGAATGAGGCAACGTTTTGGCATACCTCAAATTGCATTTAACCGAACACGGAAGATGGCACCCCCCGCCCCGCCTCGATGGTTGCGTGTGCCACATGCCACATGCCGATGAGGGAGGTACTGGGTCTGTGTGCCTCCAAAATTGCATTCGCTGGCTGCAGCCTGTCCTGTGGCGGGGGGGTCTATGTATATTTAAACGGGTTAATGTCTGGAACGGAAAAATCTGAAAATAAAACAGAGACGACAACGGATAAGGCCCCTGTTAAAGCCCACTTCATTATTAGCCATTATCTTTGTCATGTCATTTAGTTTAATATCAATGTGCCCTGCACATTGCAATATAATTTCTCCCCCCAACCCCCACCCCCCCGTGCTAAGCGTGTGCCTCTAAAGCCCACGTGTACTTTGAGATATTCCTCAATTTTCTACCGGTATTTTTCCAATTAGAGAATTGCGCACTTTGAGTACGGTTCTGTTCTGTTCTGTTCTGTTATGTTCTGTCGTTGCTTGTGGCATCTGACATGCATGACACTCGCTTGGCCTGCCATTTCATATGTAATTAAGTAATCGAGTAATGGTGGCTAAGCATAAGCTCATTTAATATGATTACCCCTTGGGATCACAGCGGTTAGAACTGCGTAGAAAGACATCTGGATAGACATGCA